GGCATATATATATATCGGCGTGAGAATATGTCCTATGCCAGGACAAGGATGTTCCACATGAGGTGGGCCATTGGGACACCTTGCATACATCAAACAAAAAAGTTGCTGGGCTAGTAGGTGTCAGAATCCGAGTTTGAGCAATAATTGTACCGTGGCTATCCCCCTGACTCCTAACCACCAACCATGTTTGGGCAGGTTGTACCTTGGGATCAAAGCATTCATTCCTTTGTGGGCAAATAGAGTACCAGGTTCCATTGAAACAACAGGGGGTGGGAGCCAACGTGCAGGTGTAGTGGGTACGGTATATCAAGGTAGTGCGAATCTCCCTTCCCCTTAATACCGTTTTGAGGCATGCAGTGCAATTGTTGGGACATAAGGGGTCCCGATCTAATGTAGGAGGGATCTTGCTAGCCTCGCGTTCACCCTGGGGTTTAGGAAATTTGGGCTTTGGTGCGGGGGCGTGGTATCTAGGATTTCTCCAATAAGGAGTGGGTACGATTCCACTATCCCTATAACACACAAGTCCCTGGTTTCCCATACATCGTTTGAAAGAGGCTTCCACTCGGAAGATGCCGGTGCATTTGTTCCCGATACAACCTGTAGGGGGGCTCCAGGTATCATAGATGCATTGGGGTAGACTAAAGTCTGTACAGGTTGCCGGTGTTCCTATAGTATATCTGAGGCCACCCCTTCCATTCTTACACTCAGGGTGCATCTCACATTTCTGTCCCTCAGAGAGAGCGGTGGAGCTATCCCTAGGGGCTGCTGTGTAGCACTTCTCCCCAAAATTTCCAGCACACCTTAACACTAATGTGTTCTGCATCTGGCCGTTTTCCATGGGTAACATATAAAAACAATTGGAGGTAATATTGAAAATTGTGCAAGTAGGCGGAGTCCCAACATACGCTGTCAATATCCCCTGTTTATCAACACAGCCATCACACGCTGGGTCATGTTTGTATGATGCTAACTTACGGGGTAGTCAGGTATGTTTCACCGAAACCCATGGGGATCGTAGATAGTAGCACCTTATCGTGTTATTTTTCATACATTGCCAATACTTAGTCCCTTGATATTCGCACTGGGGAAGATTTGTAATACGACAGTTAGGGGGTCTATATTCAGTATAAGTGAAATGTTTACCTGTAGGTCTTACCAAGTAGCAATCCAGACATGTTTTAGTTTCCCTAGCATTAACCATTGGTGGGGGTTCATCCTCGAAAGGGTCTGGTGAGTACCACTCTTCCATTATGTCATCATCTAGGAGCAGCGGCTCCTCTGTTACCACCTTTTTCTGCCTCAGTGTTGAATATAGGTATAGTGAATTGATTGCTTCAATATGTTTTTTTAAATAATGATGGAAGCAAGATTTAGATTATTTATCAATATTATTTAGCTATATATACCTTCTCAGCACTTAAACTTTAGCACATATCATTATCAAGGCAAAAGAAAGAAAGATATTCAGAATATTTAGAGAAATTCCCAATATTTGCAGAATGATGATAAAAACAGCTCATGAAAATGGAGCATGTTCAAGGCTTACTACAGAAGTCTCCAAACTTGGCAATTTTAAGACTTGTGGACTTCGGCTTTGTTGAAGTTGAAGTCCACAAGTCTTAAAGTTGCCAAGTTTGGGGACCCCTAGTTTAGTACATGACATCAAACTGTAGGGATGGACTTTCTACTTTTGCAACAGAATAGGGGCACCTCCATGCTATATTCTTCTGATTGCACTGTATAATAATTTATTTTTCTATGCTTTTAAAAAGATAAGCTAATGTTTTTTTTTTCTTAGCTTTGTTAGCTCAGTGGGAAATACTTATTCTTCAAATTAGAAGAATAGAAACGCATAAACATAGCATAGCATCTTTTTTATCTCATGACTTTTATCATGTTTTATCAATGTATACAGTACAAAGAAAAATTTAAAAAATAGGAAATTAAGGGAAGGAAAAAGACAGGAAAAAAGAAAATATGAGGTACAAGGGAAGAAAGAAAAAAGTGTTGACTTCGATTCTTTTTTGCATAGTACAAGATAACATTACAACTTCAACTTTCTACTTTTTACATATTAGTATATAACTAACATTTCTATAGCAACAATTCTATCTAATCAGCAAAACCAAAGTCAAAGTTTCATTTTTTTTAAAATCACAAGCACAAAATCCAGAAGTGATATCTCCCCAGTTGACAGCAGAATGGTTAAAATAAAATCTGCTGCCATTTATTTATAAGACGTGAAAAAAAGTCCTCTACCTCTCTAAAGGTAAAGGTTCCCCTTGCACACACGCGGTAGTCCTTCTCAACTCTAGGGGACGGTGTTCATCTCCGTTTCTAAGCCAAAGAACCAGCGCTGTCTGATGATGATTCCATGGCGATTCCATTTCATGAGGCTGACATGATTTTACATCTAACCAAAAAGTCCCTTTCTAAAAGTGATACCGTGTTTCTCATATAATAAGGCCGGGTCTTATTTTTTTTTGAGCCCCGAAAAAATGGCTAGGCCGTCTTTTCGAGGGTGACTTAATTTCCCCCCCCTTGCATCTTCGGGCAGGCGGGCAGCGATGGCTTGGATGTTGACCCCGGCATTGGTGGGGCACTTCATACTGGGGTCAACGCAGGCAGCACCATATCCGGGTGTGCAACAAAAGTACTTCCTAACGGCAAGCCCCCCCACCATTCCCCCCCATTTCGCATGTTTTAATATAGGCCTTAATTTGGGGGGAGGGGCTTAATTTCATTTCATGCCTATAAAACATGCTGGGACTTCCTATTGGGGGAGGCCATATTGTTGGAGAAACAGGGTAGATGAAGCCAGACATTAAATCAACTCCAACACATCTGGTACAGTACTTTCCTAGCTACTATTTATTCAGATCGGATGTTCCTCCTATTCTTTTCCATCTAATTCTGGCAGTGGTCATAAGAAAATTATGGAAATACATAGAGGCCAGGTGGAATTATGGGAATTATTTTCACGGCTGAAATCAACAACATGAAGTTGTCTTACCACTATAGAGACTTTGAAACAACAAACAACAAAGTACACTGAATATTTTTAAATAAACCAGCAAATACAAGAATGCCTTTTTCTTAGATCACATATTCAAGTACATAGAGGTTTTGAAACTTAAAAAAAACCTCTTTATGTTCTATGGGTATCTATTTTCCAGCAAGAAATATTATAAGGTAAAGTAATTCCATAAATGATTTCAAGTTTTTAAAATAGATTCAATTTCTTTCAAAGAAATACTTTTGTTTATTCTTGTTAGACATAAGGGTAACAAGTCATGGTATAGAAGACCACAAAGCGGTTTTAAATGTCTATTGCATCTATTCACTACTAACAGCAGGAAAGCACTTAGAGTTCTAGCAAGAAGAGTAAACAAACACCTAGCATTCAGTGTATCCCATGATTAAATGAAGCAAGGAAATGAAGCTGAATGAACACCCTACTTTGCAATGGCATTATAAATCTATAAACTATTGTCATGCAACTGCTTTGTAATACCAAAGCTTTGTCATATCAAATGTGTTTTTGTATTCTCTTATAGCACAATGTGGTAAACATAACCCTAACCCTAACAACTGAAAAAGCAAATAACAAAAAGAGAAGTATACTGAACAGACATACACTAAAAAGGAGAAAGGAAATGTATTGGACTTTTGAAAAGAAAAATGGTGTTTGATGTCCAACACAAAATGCAAAATTGTTATATTATTTGTAGTTCTTTAATTATTGATTACAAATAGATCTCTGATCTGGCTAATTTTCTTTGGGTTATACTTTAGTTTTTCCACTCAAATGCCATCCTCTAGTAACCACCATGTCCAGATGTTCTCAGCTTTGATCAGTTCCAGCTAGATTGAAGAGGAGGGGGGAGAGGGAGGAACAATATTTGGGAGTATAAGTGTCTCAGCTCTTACAATAGCTTATGACCTTTAGAATAAGATTTTCTGATTCTCAAAATATCTTCTTCACCTTTAAAAATCTGTACTTTTTGATTTAGGATGCTCTGCAAATACTATTTGGATGTCAAAGCTGATGTAGTATGTACAATAACATATTTTTCCTGAATGTATTTGTTATCTTTTAAATTCCTGACCAGCCTCTTTTTCACAGATACTGTTTAAGCGATTTATAAGATATTTACCACTTCTTCATTAATCCTTTCAATCTGTCTATATAGTGGTTCAAACCAATTCAGCAGTTGGTTTTAATTCTTCAAGTAGGCAAAGTCAGAAACAAACCCCAAAAGTACTGTTGGAACTCTACTGTTATAGAGTTATAATAACTGAATCTTGAAAGTCTGATTTTCCATTCTCTCCTGTTCTTCTAAAGAGAATCCAGGTGATTTTTTTCTTACCTTCTCTTCTTTCAAAATTATTGTTTACTTAACCACTTTTTCATTTGTTCTACAAGATTAACTCAATAATTCTTTACAATCAGAATCATTTATTTATTTATTTATTTATTTATCATACTGGTTAAATTTATTTGCTGTGGAGCTACTCTGGGTGGCTTACAATGGTAAAACAGAGAAAAAATGATAAAACAAAATGTAAACATAACAATAGCAAAACTATTAATAAAAGTACAATAATATGAATTAAAATATGGATGGAGGGGGAGGAGAGATGTGTGGGGTCAACTAATGATAAAATGCACCACACTGGAGGTGCACCCTATTATGTCTCCAGGCCAAGAAGCAGCGCCAGATCTTCAGGCCCTTGATGAAGGATAGAAGGATGGGTCAAATCTCATCCTGGGGACAGAATGTTCCAGAGGGCTGGTGCTACAGCAGAGACTCATTCTTGGAACATTCACACAATCGGAACTTTCCTGTTTCCACAACTAAGTCAACAATTTCAGTGTATAAGATATTGACTTTCTTCAATTTGAATAATAACTATTGATATACATTGTCTTATTTAATCTTTTTTATTTTACAATCTTTTTTTATAATACACTTTTTCAATGACACAGGTCTAGTTTACAGACATAGTTATAGTTTTGTAGATTACATAAATCCCTTTAAAATTCAGAATAATCATACTAAGATTGATAGAAGTATTCTAAGAATACAATTAAACTATAAATATGACCCAAATTTTTAAATGATTTACATTTGGCAGTTAAAAAGACTGAAAACAATTAGACTTTTAGGGATAATATACAATACTTAATTCTTTAGCATGCCTCATGCTACAGCATAAAGTGATTCAATAATTTAATATTGTTAAATTAATTAGCAGTAATACTATGAGTCACTGATCTACTGAAATACATTAATTGTCATCCTATGTTCATACTTTTCCTCTCATGAAAATAACAGAAGTGCTTGGATGAGGACAATTTATTTGCATTTAAAACATGAGAATGGAACATTCTGTCTTTAATTTTGGACAGAAAATTTTCTTGCCCCAGCTCTTGTAAATATTTAAAACATTTCTGCAAAAGGAAGATATCATTGAAAATAATATAGTAGGAATAAACTATTTCCATCAGTTTAAGGACCATGCAAAGCTTTTTGTAGCATATGAAGAGCTACCTTCTAAGACTGTGGGGTGGGAATTGTTTTCTGAGTACACTTTAGGTGAGTGTGGATGTGGATGTGGATGACTTAAAACTTTAAGTGTGGATGACTTAAAACTATCAGTCTGTCATTTATCACTTGAATTGCACCTAAATGTCCAACAAAATGAAAAACAGTTAAATTTAATTTTGACATCTAGAGGACACAGAAGGAATCTGAAGGCCTGAACTTTCTATATCTCTGTAATGTAGTATGATTTAATGGGATTGGACTATAGTAGTTACATTTTTCTATTATGCCTAATAACTGATAATACTATTATCCATTATGGTTGACTCCCAATTAAAGATGTATTTATTAAATCATGTCAGTCTGGTGATATCAGCGAAGGGAGTAAATATGTGATGAAGAATTGATCTTCTCTTTGAATAGCAATACTAATGTAGAACACTTTGTGGTAAACCTGTCCATTTAGATTATGCAATCTGTGAAGCAGAACATCCAAATGAGCTTTGAAGCAAAGCATTCAGGCCAGCTCTTTCACCTATGTAGAAACTGAACCTCTTCTTGCAACTTCATTCTGTTAAGGTTGACTTATCTTAGAGTTTCACACTCACATCAGTGTGAAGATTCCTAGGTGATTCCACCTGCATAGGGTCCATTCCTGCTAATATTTATATTTAAAGTAGGCTAAAATATCAAAAATTTGGAGCATGGCTTTATTATCTATTGATATAAAGAGCGACTGGCTTTTCAAATGTCACTTAACTACAATCTCTATTCCTATTTATTGCCTCTGCTGGCTGAACTCACATGCATTTCCAGGGCTACACTTTCTCCAGTCTTGAATTAATATGTAAAGGATTGGTCATTTAGTATTCATCCAGAAACTATATTGCTCTAAAAAGGCAGGAAGAGTTTGCAGCATATGCTTAAATAAAAGTAATTGCATCTATGAACTCCATTCAGCATTTAAATGATATACTATGCTGCAATTAGTGAAACCTAGATTTGTGCCACTGGGTAGAGTGATATGTGAGGCCCTAACCAAATCCAAATTTGATGATAGTTTAATTACTACTAAATTTAACAATTTGGCAATCAATTATACTTCATTGCACAGTCAACCAGATGTTCAGGCTGGATTTGGCAATTTTATCCATCTATCAAGTTCTTCCCAAGGAACTGGGATAGACAGATGTTGATGTTTGATAGTTGATTGTGTGATGAACCAAAATAATGAGCCAGCATATTATCCCACAATGCTACACTGGAGAAAATATTATATTACAAATATAACATATTCCATATGCATTGTGGGTAAAGGAGGCAGTCTGGTTGTTTTAGAAGTCTGGTCTTGTTTCAGAGATGTCCATTTTACTCAGAAAAAATACTCGGTGAACGTGAGCAAAATTGTAATCTCACGATCACCTTCTTTTGCTGGGGCTTCAAGAATGAGTGAGTCCACTTTAACACAGTTCTAGTAACTCTTACATTATTATTAAGCACAATTAATACAAATATTAAGGAAATATAATTGCAATGTGTTCGTGTTTATTCCTAAAGAACATGAGTTCTTTACAATTCTCAGTGATAATATCAGGCTCTACATAAACTTTTGTTTCCTCATGATTCATGATTGCAGTAACACCATTGGAGTAAGGAAGAACAGCAAGGCTGAAGCCAGGGCTTCCACAGGATATGTCCCAGTGAAAACTGGTTGGGAACAGCAAGTATTGAGTTGGCGTGGTTGTCCACTGCATGTTGAATAGTTTGAAGAATTTCATGGAAGTGGCTCTCAGTTTCTGGTGTCAGTGGATTATTTTCTTCTGGGTCCTTGAAGAGGTCAAAAAGTAATGGTGGATCATGATATGTGATAAATGGCCCAAAGCAGAAGCATACATGATAATCGTAGCATCCATTAGATTCTTTGGGACTGAAATTTGGAGTGAAGTAAAATATCTTCCAAATAGAGTTACCTATAAATATGGAGGAGGCAGACAAAGTTGAAGATATGTTATGAAGATGTCCCATAATTATGATAATCAAATTCAAAACACACTCATCTTCCAAGAGTACACAGTCATTTTTTTTTTTTTACAATAGACTAGGACTGATATATAAACATATATATATATAAATGTTTTATTAAGTTTTCGCAGGTACTTACATGTATCGCATTCGGCTTTGTTCGGGTATTTTTCCACGTCATTGTAGTTGTTCTTTTAAAGTTGTAGCAACGTTTCAGCAGAATCTCATCTGCCATCATCAGGCTTCTGATGATGAAGCCTGATGATGGCAGATGAGATTCTGCTGAAACG